CACTGAGTGATTTTTGGGGAAATGTCAGTTAATTTCGTAATCTCTTTCTATATCTTTATTATTAAAGTGTACTCCCAAATGGCGCCTCATTATTTTAAGGAACGTGGGTAGCAAAATTACTAATCTAACCAATAGAAAATTGAAAATATAAATGACCAAAGTTATTGAATTTATGATTAAAAATAGTTATAGTCATAGTTTATACTTGATCTTTATATGAATTAATGATATCACTTAAATAAACCTACAACTTTCAAATATGTTTTCAACTCAATTGGAATTATTAATCCAATTTTTATATGGTTTTTGTATTTTTCAGAAATAATATTAACAAACAGCATAATCTTTTAAAAATTATTAAAATAATAATAACTATAATGTCTTTAAATGTAAAGTCTTGGCCTTTTTATCACAAAAGCCAAAAGCGACTTCAGTGTTAATGTCAGTGGCAAACGTCAGGAAGGGGAAAATTATGTGTGCCCTTGCAAAGTATACTACGCTTCAACTCTCTTATAAAAGTTTTATTTAGAAATATTTTATTTAATATAGTTTAGCATCATCGTTTAAATAAAAATATTTACAGAAGAAGTCAATTTTTTTTTTAATAAGAGGTTTTAATCCAATAGATTATATATACAGCATGCACCCCTGAGACATGAAAGATATTCTTCCCCTCCCATCTAGCCATTCGATCAAGTGAGCCCCACCGATTTGATTTAAATCCAACGCCTCAGAGTATTTTATTTTTAGTTTTCATTTTTACAAATTATATGAATATGAAATTTGGCATGTACTATTTTCTTAATGGGAGTGCACCTACGAAAAATATTTGATAAAATATAATGACCAAAATACCTCTTGAAATCTTGTATTTTAATTATTTTATTTTATTAGTAATTTTTTATATTTATTGTTTACTAGTGTGAGTTTAAAAAAAAAGGTGGATGTTAAAAAATTGGTGCCAAAATAACTTATAAAAAAATTATAAATAAAATAGTATAAAAATATGACATTGTGATTAGAGCCATCTCAACCATCCATTCATAATAGACAGTGGGATAAGGTGGGGAAGCATAGAGAGGTTGTCCAAACTCTTTTTTGGTTTGCTTTTGGTGGAGGGAGCGGTTTTCTAAGTAGTAGTAAACCCTTGGGCACATACTATGTGCATATTCCTTCATTTAAGTTACTTACAAATTTTATCTGTTTAAGTTAATAAAAAATATTTTATTCTATATTAAAAAATATTTAGCATTTATTTTATTAAAAAAAATACATACAATACCACTAAATAACAAAATTCATTTCACCACAACAAACTATATTGAAGAGAACGTCCAAACATTATTTAGGTAGAGAAGATAACATCGTTTGGGCGCCGACATTGCTATTAGTTTATGCTAAAAGATATCATACTCCACAAGAGTATATATTATTTATTTACTTCCTCAGGTAAAAATATGTGCAGGATTAATTTTAGGACTCCAAATTTTGAAGGTTCAACCTCTTCAACCCCTAAACTACCCTCAAGAAAAAAAAAACCTAATTGCTAATGTCTCAAGGGAAACTCAATTTTTTTTTTCTTTTTTTCTTTTGAGAACACTAATCTCGTGTTTCTTAGAGTTCCCAAAATCGAAAAAATCCTCTAAAAGTAGATCTTCTAACCAAAGGAGTAGATGTGTATATACTTATATGCACCCTCTAAGTTCTTAAAAAACTAATGTCTCAAGGGAAACTCAATTTTTTTTTCGTTTTGTCTTTTGAGAACAATAATCTCGTAATTCTTAGGGTTCTCAAAATCGAAATAATCCTCTAAAAGTAGATCTTCTAACCAAAGGAGTAGATGTATATATTCTTATATGCATTCTTAGTTTATTATTTGATCATGTTAACTAAAATGTTTCTCGATTGTCTAGTAATAAATGTTTTTACGTTTTCAAACCTAATTTATAGAATTGTCTACAAAGAGACTATTATCTATGTACATGAAGGTCACAATCATTATTGTCTATTAAATTTTAAATTGGTTGGTTGTAAAAATGTCATTGAATAGACACAAAGTTTTTTTTTAAAAAAAAATTCGGACTTTGTAACTCACTCTATGACATCCAATTTAACATCTAATGAGTGAGAATGATTGTGACCTCCATATACAAAAGATAAATGATATATTTGTAGACAATCCTCTAATTTATAAACACATTAAAATGCACGCATAAGTTTTTTTATTCCAATTTTCGACAAAAATTAGCTAATATCATTTTATTTATTGCCCACATAACGTTTACATGTTTAATCAGATGAGCATAAAAAAGGAAAATATCATTTAAGAGATTAAAATCTCTTTCAAAATTTTTGGGGGTTAAGATATCTCAATTAACATTTCAAAACTTACCGTTTCATTTTCATTTATCTCAAGTACCTCTTTAATTGAGGAGGTCAAAATTGGTGTGTTAAGGGTTCGAGAACTATGAACAAATACGGGCATTTCAATAAGGGAAAAGTTTATATAAGGTTGCAACTTTAAAATGTAGAGTCATAGATGCACTTCAAAAATCTATCGGAAATGTTATTTTAATTTTGAAAAATCCTCTAATTGATCATCTCGACATCGAGATGTATGATTATGAAAAAAAAAGTTTTTGAATCCCAAAAGAAGTGCATCTTGCAACATATTATCTAGACCGTCCATTTTCAAGATTTTCATACATTTATAGATCTAGTTGATTTTAACCATTTTTAGAGTTAAAAATTTTCTAATTAGATATGAAAAAAGATTTTAAGATAATCCTAAGAATTGTTTACAACAAAATTACATGTTATGATAAAATTTGGAGGGGCGCCGATATTGGATTGTTTAAGGTTGCAACCTTATAGAAACCTCACCCTTTCTATAACCTTACAAGTATTTTAATACTCCAAGGTTGAGGCTTATTAGGTGAGAAATATCCTTCTTAGGATTCCAAAGCAAAACAATACAATTTTGGCCCTTTTAAAATTTGTAGGTATTTTGGTGAAATAAAAAAAATTAAAATAAACTTGCAAGTATTAATTAGAATATTTTGAAGTCCTTGATAATTTTGTCAGGAGTTTTAAAACTTAAATGATATTTTCCCATAAAAGAACTGAATCCACGGTAATAGAGTTTTTTGGGTGAAAAACTCCTAACTGCTTCTCATTGAAAAGCGTAAACGAATGGTCGATTTTTACGATGCGTATTTTTCAGTCTTATGGACCGCCGGTCCTTTAAAATCTCGGAAACTAAGGCGTATGCTTGTCAATTATGAAAAATGGGGTTATTACCGGTGTTTGCAAAATGGGCCGGTTCAAAGCGGAACTGCCTCCTTAGATCGAAATCAGTCACCGGCTAGGAACCGGTTTTGATGATCTAGCTGAGTATTTAAAAGAATAAAAAAATGATATAAAATCTAAAAAACAAAGGATTTATTTGTAATGTGGTTTTGAATATTTTTCATCATTTTGGCAACTATTGGAAAATATTTTGGCTATTAATAATAATTATTTTATGTTATTTCAAAAATATCTCTAGGCATAAATCGATATTTTAAAATCTATTTTTCACCAATTTTTCAACTTCATTTGGATGTGATTTGTTTAATCATGTTTTAAATATACTTTTCATATATTTGTAGTTTTTTAATTTTTATTTTTTTCACACTTTTTTGACCGGCCGGGATTTGTCCAGTTAGGCCAATCTAACCAGCTAATTTACCAGTTGCTTAGTACCGGCCTTTAAAGGTTTTTGAGGCCGGTTTGATTTTTTGAACACGCATTATTACCAATTTTCTAAAACCTATGACCATAGAAAATCTATGGGCACAAGCAAGGCCCAATTTTGAGTAGACAGTTATAGAGCAAGCAAGGCTCAATTTTGAGTGATATCATGTTCTTCTCATGACTGAGGATATCCCGTGGAATCCTTTATTATATTTATACAGTTTCCATTTACTTAACAAAAGAAAGGTGTTCCTTATGCCTAGTTAAAAAATAGCTAAGAAAATATAAAAAATGAAAAAAAAAGAGATCGTACTGGCAGTATATTTTGTTCCCATTGGAGCATAGTGCACACCTACTCCCTTGGTTAGAAGATATCTTGAGGAGGATCTTTTCAATCTAAAATGTTGATTACCATGGGATTATTACTTTCAAAGGAAAAATTTTTGAATTTTGAGCTTTCTAATACTTATATCTCACCATCCTTAACTTGAATTGTTTTTTTTTTTTTTTTGTGTTGTTTCTTAGGTTAGAGCAGTGTGGATTACAGTCCCCTTTCCATCACTGTTAAATTTGGTGATAAAAAGAGGGGGGTTTGTATAAGGTGCCCTCATTGTAATGTAGAAGTAAGATGCATTTCTAAAGTTTCATAAGAATCAGAGATGTAGGTCTAGTGTTAGAAGCCTTTTAATGGTTTGAAAATTTATTTTTATATCTAAATATAAATTTTTAAATTTTAAAAATGATATGGGACATATATGTAAACATTTCAAAATCTATAGCATAGATGGTTCAAATAACTTTTACAAGACTTAAAATTCATTTTTTCTTCGTAACCACACATCTTGATATTGATAGGATGGGTTGGAAGGTTCTCCCATCCCAAAACACTCTCTTTAGATAATTTTTAAGGTGCACTTTACTTTAATAGCATATCATTAAGGCCTTATATAAGCTCCTCCATCTTTTTCTTTTTCAAATACACAGTATGTGAAATTGTTGTTTTATTGAGATTAATCATGGCTTGAAGAGGTTACATCCCAAAAATTTGGGATTCTAAAGTTATTCCTTGGGTTTTGTCTGAGGGAGCAATCGGACACTTTGCTCCCGCGGGAATATAGACTCTTTTATACCGAGAGATAGGAAAGGCAGTTGGCAGACAGATTTGACTTTCGAGACGGCCATCCACGACAAGTTCCACGTTACAATTAAAAATGCAGCCGCCTTCACTGCTAACAATATCACTTTCCAGTCGGATGATTAACTCTAGAGAGAGGTAAAGATTAAATCTAGAGAGAAATATATCTCTCTTTCTCTCTCGTATTTAGGACAAAAAATCTGTTGGGGAAGATTAAATCTAGAGAGAGAGATATCTCTCATTTTCCCTCTCATATTTACGACAAAAAATCTGTTGGGGGAGATGGTTCAAATTCCCAGTTTTCTACCGAATACGTATAGGAATACATTTACCCATGCTTGGTTTTAAAGAACTTTTATGACCAAAAAAATGAGATGGCAGAAGGGTTCAGCTGGATTCTGTAGCAGAAAACTGTACACCAGGTCAAACTTTAATGGCCTTTTTTTCATCCTTAATGGCTCGTGTGTTTTATTTGCCTTTGGGTTTTTGATATTAGGCTTTCTTTTGCCTTGTGGCTCTTTTTCCAGAATCCGAGGGGGTCCCTCTGAGCAGTAGGAGCAAGAGAAAAGGTGCCTCTGTGCTTTCTTAGTAGGAATTGGTTGGGTTTGGTGGCTCTGATAATGGCTGTGAGTTTCTTTCTTTTGGTTTAAAATGGTTAATTTTGTATATTATTTTTGTTTTTTGAATTGGTTGAGCGTGGTTTTGGAATTTTGGGTTGGGTTTTTGTTGGCTTCAACTTTCATGAGGTGGAACTCTCTGTTTTGGTAAAGGTGATTTTTTTTTTTTTTCATTTCTATAATGGTTGTAATTCCTAAGCATGATAAAATGAATGATTATGGATATGGGTTTTGTTTAGTTGATATTTTAAACTTAGTATGGCGTTTTAAGGATTGGACGCTGCTTTTGTATGAGTGGGGTTTAATCTTGAATTTTGGGGTAGGATTCATTTGTTGGCTGTTTTTTTTTCTGGTCTGTTTTTGGGTGAATTTAACATGTTATGAATATTTGAATAATAATTAGCCTGTGTTGTTTTGCGTAGACATTTTGGGGTAAGGTAAATATGAATGCTTTTCTCTAGCATTGAAAGAGGAAGCAGAGGGATGGAGATTGAGTTTAGGAGATCAGTTTACTAGTTTCTCTTAGGAGTTATGCAGCAGTAACTGTGAACTTATTCAGAGGAGAGAAAGAGAGAGAGGGGGGAGGAGGTGGTGGATGAAGGGGAGTGTTCTGGGTTTGGCGAATTGCTGTTGCAGATTGTAGATGTGGCGGCGCGGCCTAGTGGATTTTTTGGGGAGAGAGCGATACTTTTTATATGATGAAATAAAAGAACCCATTTCTGGATATTTTGTAAAAAGAGCCATCATGATGCATTCTGTGGGAGTTGTGGGTTTAAAATTTTACAGGGAAAAACTCTCATCATGAGATATGCTATGGGTATTGAGGATTTATTGGATTCTTATGCCTATCTGAATCTATTGGAGAGAGAGAGAGAGAGAGAGAGAGAGAGAGAGAGAGAGAGAGTATTTACATAGAACGAGTCGACCTACTACGTAAGGAAAAGGTAAAATACTAGTACTTCTGACAACAAACGACACATACAGTAGAAACGGTACGGTATTTACTTTAATTTT